ATATATATACGTATGTATGCATACATATGTATGAATATATATGTATGTGTGTATGTGTTTATGTATGTATGAATATATATTCGTGTGTATATACGTATGTATGAATATATGTATGTATGTGTGTATACGTATGTATGATCAATATATGGATGTATGTATGTATATACGTATGTATGTGTATGTATATATATGTATGCGTGTGTATGTGTACACAATTAATTTTAAACAAAGAAGAAAAATAAGATAACCCACAATAAAGTCAGGAAATATTCAACATTTTAATAAAGCACAACAAAAATAAAACTTAAAAACTCTAGAAAATTCCTAGAAATATGAAAATAAAAAGAACCCTAGAGATGACACACATATAAGTTAAAAACAATATTTATAAACTGAACACATACATGTTAAACATATGCATACATGATCACAGATATATATCCTTAATTCATTCATCCCATCTGTAAAAGTAAATTGAGGTTCCTATTTCTTTATAAGATTATGCAAACCAAAATTGAATTTTTTTTGTTTCCATTGTGTGATTGTTTGGAATTTTGACATTTAATAGTTTCTCATTGATTCTGAATAAACATCGTGTATAAATCATCTGAAGCATACTTCGAAACCCAGTATGTCAGGATTGTTAACCTCATTTTTAGTCTTAGTCACGGTTTCAACTTCATTGCAATCAGGTTACTCCATACTTGCCCCATTCCTGTGCCAGTGCAAATCAAATAAAATGCCTCTCACTGTCTCATTTGAAAAACTTGTGAACAAACAATTAGTCCAGAAACAATCCAGAAATATGTGTGTCTGTAAACTGCATTCAAACCCCCTAAGACACAGATGCAAATCTGTTTTAAAAGATGCTTACCTGGTTGAATCTGTGGATATTGTCCAAGCACTTTCATACTGTTATCACGATATGATAATAACAGAGATATTATGATAACAAACATACCAACATAAATGAGATGTCTTAGAAGAGCTGTCGGGAAACAGGAAGAAATCAAATCAATGAAGAAATCAAAGAAAAGACTAGGACTGAAACCACCTCACACATATACGCACACACATACATATATACATCGGAAAAAACAAACAAAAGGTCCTTACATCTCCCTTCAACACTTCAATGAAATAACTAGAGGAAGAGAAAATGACCATTTGACCACTTTCACATAAGTGGGCAGTTTTAAGACAACCCTTTTACTACAGAGACCAGGGAAAAAAACAAAACACCCATGACCTGTATTTTGGGAATTCCTGAAACAGATCCGTAAAAAATACTATTTTACACAGGCACACACACAAAAAAATCATAACATTTATGGACTAAAAAATTATTTAATTCTGCACAGAATAAGAGGAGTAATCAGTAAACAGGAATGCAGTAGAGAATTAACTGGCCTACATATCTCTGAGCTTAAAAACAAACAAATTATATCATTACTCATTAGTGATGCACTCACAACTATGCCTAATGACAAATTATGACTCCTTACTTTCTATAAATTAAAGCAATTTTTTTCACAAGGAACCCCCACCTCAAAACCTTTAAAAAAAAAAAAACAAGGAAAAAAACAATCTCAGTCATCCTCATTTCTTGGTGTTTTCCTCAACACCACACTCACCTGAAAGTTAAATACAGAAAAAATTCAACCAAAAGCCATCCAAAGGCTCGCCGTAAGGAAAACATTAGCTGGAAAATCCTGAGGAACAAACATGCAAACATTAAAGAAGGTCAACACTACAGCAGCTAGGCCACTTATGGGACAGACGCAAGCTTGTGGGCAACAGCAGTAAAAAACAAATGGGTTAACTAAAGTCCAAAAAAAGGAACTGAGAATAACCACTGGTATAACAGCAAAAAAAAAATAATAAACATGGGACAACTAGACAAAGTCCAGAATGTAGAGCAGAGAACAACAGCAGTAAAAATAAATGTGGGACTGCTAGGTAAAAGTCCACAATACAGAACTAAGAATAACCCCTGGAAAAAACAGTAGAAAAAATTAACAATGGGACAACTAGAACAAGTCTACAATAACCCCTGGAATAGCAGGAGTAAAATTATTTATGTACATGTTTGAAATTTGTTCCTAAAATGTTTAAAGATATATAAAAGAAAAGAGTAATAAATAAACATGCACAGTGTGAAGCTTTCAAAAGAATACATTTTCCAGGCTCAAAAATATACAGGTATCAGCTAACTCAGGCAGTAACCTCTATCAATGAGGCTTACAGGAACATTTTTACATACATCGGGTCCAGAAGATGGACCACCTTCAGACAAAGTGAACAGAAGGGTCTGTTTCAGAGACCTCTTCCTGCCCTTCACCGCGAGGCATTCCAGGAGTAGAGAAAAGAAGAAGACCTGGCTATTAAAAAAACCGACTTGGTTTCAAGCAAAACTCTATGCAGGGCTATTTTTAGTTAATTCTGACATCATAAACGTTCGCTTAGGAACAAAGTTATGTGATGGTGTGCTTTGCGCGGTGCCCCATGCTCACAGCAAGCATTATTGTACTGTGGAAGCGAGAAGTGATGTTGATACTTGAATAACTGTGGTTGAGAAATGTGAGAATGAGGAAGAATAAACTGGCAGAATTTTTATTCGGAAACTGAGCGCTGTTTGGCGTTATTCATTGTAGAAAGTTGTATCTGTCCCAAGTAAGCTAGAGTGACTACAAGGAGAATTACTACAAGTGGGAGCTCGTCCGGAAGGCCAATGACATTAACTATACGCCTTGTAAAAGGTAACTATAGACAAGTCGTAAAAGTGACATTTATGCATCAGTGTAACCTTGCTAACTAGTGCAATATGGCAGGCCTCAAGTTACTGAACAGATTTTTCACAGAGTTGTTATTCTGCTTAACAGTGATTTTTTTTTTAAGTATGAAGGGAAATATTCATTAAACAGAAACAGACAATGAAATAACTGCTTTTCTTCCCTTAGACCAAGAAAATGGGCTTTATTACCACAGTTAAAGACAGCAAGTCATGACTTGGTTTGCACCTGCTCAAATGTTTAGCAGGACTGAAATTTATTATATTTACTGAAAAAAATATAACAACATGGTGCTTGTGAATTAATGATTTAAAAAAAAAAATGGAAATTATATATTTAGAAATTATAACGTCATAATTTCCCATTACCACTGGTAGTTATTCATCGACCAGATTAATAGGTCAAATACGAGACACCATATAAGTTATTTTTTTTTTAATTGTCAAGGAGAGGCGTGTCAGTTAAATCTTTGCTGCATTCAAGTTTACTGAATAACCCTTTTATTTTATATGGAAATTAATAGTTTTGGTCCATAAATAGAATAGTTAGGACTTCTGTGACCTGTGTAAACATTTTTACGATTTCTGTGACCTGTGTGAACTTTTCTTTTTTTTACATTTTTTTGGGGTAAATTCCCAAAATATGGACCACTGACTTCAATTTTTCTAGGTCACCAGGGGGCTAAAGGGTTAACTCTTTCAATTCCAGAACAACTCACCACATGTTTGGTTAAAAAGTATAGAGTAGAGAACTCTTTTTTATGTCATTGATGCATCAGGCATGTGATACTAGACTCATATATTTACATATCAGCTGGCACTTGTTGACTGATAAGAACATCATCATACCGATATCTTCCCATCCGAGGATATTTCCTAGTACCCATTTAAGGCTAGGTCAACCTGCACATATTTATTAGTTACTCTACATCAGTGGCTCCCTTTTTAAATAAGATCCACTGGCCATCTTTTTTTGGTACCTCATGGACCCCATGTAGTCATATTTTAAAGAGAGAGAGAGGGATAGAAAGGAGGACAGGAATCTATCTATATTTTCCTCTTTGCATTCACTGGCTGTAAACTAAGGCTGAAAGTTTTGGCTATTCATGTGCTACTGGAATTTAGTCTTGTTCCACAACTTGATGTTTGTGTGCACATCTGTTTTATAGATCTGTCTTATTTGCAAGCAGACTGCTCGTTCCATGTCTCTAAGACTGATGCATTTCAACTTCACAGAAAACCCCCGTACATAATCAATATTTACAACATGCTTTTTAATCAAGTTCCTGAGGTTTTACATGATTAACTCCTGTCTTCCTATATTTCTATTGCTTTAACTGCCCATGATTCAAAGGCTATACTATTCTAATCAGGGCTCTTTTCTTCTGGCGGTAAGCAACGTACACAGCATCAGCAGCTGTTTTTAGACTTTATATTTTTTTGGTAACAGACACTCTGTGGTGAGTTCCGCCACCCATTTTAGACACTTTGTGTTGAGTACTGGCATCTTTTTCTAGAAACAAAGATTCTAATGCATCTAAGTCAGTGGTTCTCAACCTTTCCAGTGCCGCGACCCTTTACTACAGTTCCTCATGTTGTGGTGACCCTCCACCATAACATTATTTTCTTTGCTACTTTACAACTTCAGTGAATATGTGTTTTTCGATGGTCTTAGTTGACCCCTGTGAGAGGGTTGTTCCCTCCTCCCCCCCCCCCATAAAGGGGTCGACCCATAGGTTGAGAACTACTGATCTAAGTGATGGTTAACAGTGTTAACGAACAGCCATATGAATTGACAAAAATTGTTCTTCTTCTTTGTTCACCGCATGTAGTCCTAGCTGTTCATCCATTTGGATTTTGGTTTTGTGCCAGGGCCTGAGTTTTGCGTGTACATCTGTTGCTCGGGCAGATGCACTCTGACTTTAAAGAAAGCTCCCAGTTAGGTGACTACTACGACATACTTTTTTATGGGGGTGGGGTGGGGGGGGGGGGGTGGGGGAAGGGGGAGGTGGTGGGTCTATTCTTGTTTTCCCCAGAATTGGAACCCGGAACCTATATGAGGAGAACAGAAAAGAATTAATAGGCCAGTTTTTTTAAACAAAAAAACTAAAAAAGACAAAACACAACAAATTAGGGCAGCAACAATGGAGTTCCAAAAGTGACATGGTTCAGCTATACAAATTGTCTTTTGTCCAAAACCTAGTGATATTTACTGGAATGGTGAATGCCCTCCTTGAACATGCATGGCATCAACAAATGGCTGAATCATTGCTCCAAATGGCCTGTGAAATAAAGAAATAATGCCACTGAAGAAATATAATCTCTAACACTTATCACTGTTATCATCATCCTCAACTGTTATGCTGACTGGAATAGATGTTTATGCTTGTCAACATTTTAACTTTTCCCCCCCTGGAACAATTTAAAAAAAGTCATATTGTCTTTTGAGAATTTTATAAAATAAGTCGCCAAAAAAAAAAAAAAAAAATACATTTACACACATAGCTAATAAATTAATAAAAAAAAAGGTGTTTATCTACAATCTCTGAACATTTTGGCTCAATACATCCTAAAGAGCTTGACATGAGATGACTACCTCATCCTGCAGAAAACTAGCTGCAGAATCTAAATTATTATAAACAGACAAACAAAAGAGGCGGCAAAGGTTAGTTGTCACTGAGATATAAGAAGAAGAAGAAGAAAACAAGGAAGATGAAGCAGAAGAATAAGAAGAAGAAAAGAGTGGTGGAAAAGGAGATGATGAAGACAAGGAAGAGACGAAAAGAGTGGTGGAAAAGGAGATGATGAAGACAAGGAAGAAGAAGAAACATGGAGGAGGAGGACAAAAAAGAAGCAGAAAAAGAAAAGGATAAGACGAAGACAAGGAGGAAGAAGAAGAAGAAAGAACAAGAATATAAACGATAGACCTACGTGCTGAGCACTTCCTGTGGGAGACTCGTGATGTGACATGGTATATCTTTGCCAGTGAGAAACTGAGCCAATTCTGACGAGAAGTTGTTACAGTTGTGATGAAACAGATGGTACTTCTCAGGCCTGAGAAGAAACACAAATAAAATACAGCTCAATTGTAACATTCATTGGTCTGAATTATAAGGGTCTGGCATAGCTTGCCCAGATGTCCTATTTTCACCAGGATAGTCCCATTTCTGTAGGTCTGTTTTAGCTGCCACGTCGGTAATAATACGAATTGTTCTGCTGTATCTTGAGAAAAGAGCATAAACATGTAGTAATATCTGTAGACCATATTAGATTTCATAGTGTTAGACAGATATTTTTATGCCTGAAATATGCTGATGGGAATTTTCATTGTAGCATTTTTAGTGTAGCTAAAGAACAGGCTACACTGATTTTCTTGGGATGTCTCAATTTCAGCTCAAAACAGTGAGACGTCGTTTTTAGTGTAATATGGTCACCAGAGTCTAGCACCCCATAATAATATTTAGATAAAGGCATGCTAAACACTTACTTCTGCTGGGTTCAGAACATCTAAACCAGTGGTGGGCAACCTTTTTTGTGGTCTGGGGCCAAATTTAGAATTACCAACCTCGTTGCAGGCCATAAAGAACAAGATTTAACAGCCAGGTTTCCTCGTAACATGGTATTTTTGTTGGACAATTCTTAATATAAGTTGGTTCTAATTATTTCTAGAGCTTCCTCTTTCACTGCTCAGGGTGTCGAGGAAGATATAAGGCTTGCTTCTTGCTCTTCTGGTAGTCTCGACTGTAGACACATCATGCTGTTGTTGAGTTGCTCTAATGTTATTTTTCTATCTTGTTCTTCCTTGTGCTCTACATCCTTCAGTCTGTTTCCACCTCACTGTATTCTCTGCAGTGACAAATCCACTGCCAGCTTGGACAGCACGTGTGGTCTTCATGGCCAACATAGTGGCCCCATGGCATAAGGCCACATCATAACATGCTCAGTCGAAGTAGTCCATTACTTTGTGCTGATTTCTAGAACTTATAATTATAAATATTTTCATAAGTTTTAGAACTCACTTGTAAATATTTTCATAATTTCAAGAACTTACTTGTGAATATTTTCATAATTTCTAGAACTTACTTGTGAATATTTTCATAATTTCTAAAACTTACTTGTGAATATTTTCATAATTTCTAGAACTTCCTTATAAATATTTTCATAATTTCTAGAACTTACTTGTGAATATTTTCATAATTTCTAGAACTTACCTGTAAGTGGTTTCTGATAATTCATGAAGGAAGTCCATGAAAACATCGAAGGGAATCTCAGTGATTCCTAGGTCAATAACCTCTGAGGGCTGTCCAAGTACTGTACCTCCCTGTTGGAAACCAGCATCAATATAAAGCAACAGTTTTGCATACAAGAAATAAAAGCAAAGCAATCTTACAAAAATTTATATTAAAAAAAAAAATGGATCAAAGAAAAACCTACTATCACCAGCTTCAGCGACGGGGGTCGGCCAATGGCTGGTAGATCAGGGTAGTGTTGGGATCTGTCTTCTTTGATCTCATCTACACAGCAAGAGTCCTTTTCAGGGCTATATGGTGGCGAGAAATGCTTAGCCATTTTGTATGGCGCACATAAATCTAGTTATAATTATGACCCAAAGCTTCCCCTTTGGGGGATGCAGGTTGAAAGTGACCATTTTTCCCCTGCAAAGCAGGCCAAGCCAAGTTTACACCTAGTCAGGTGGAAAAGATGGGTTAACATATCTTTTTAAACTATCTACCATCTTGACAATGAAGACTGGTTACTGTGTACCCACTGCCGTCTTTGAAAATATGTGGTGAAACCTCAATTTCTTCCACGATGCAACTCTGGCACCATGACCCAAAAACCAGAAGAATGTTTCCCGAGAATTTAAGCTCTCCCAGCAGAAAACAAATCCTAGTACTCGATAATCATGAAATTGTTGAACTCGTTCACTAACCCAATTATCTGTTTGAATCCCTATTGTCCCCAGATGAGTTTTGGGAACAATTTGTTTGGGTAGGTGGATTGGGGGAGGGGGACAAATAGACCCACTACTACTTAACAAGCACATTGTAAAAGGCATTAAAGATTCACTAAAACTGGCTGTGTTGGGACAAAAAGTGCAGACACCACAGCCAGGCTATAAACCATAAAATAACGTCAACCACCTTTATAAGGGCAAAGACAGAAGAAGAAGAAACAATCCCCACTGAGGCAGGGAGGTTTGTGAAAAAACTGTAGAGTTCCAGGCTGTCGCAGCCTAAAACGGGCACTACAAATTTGAGAAGTAAAGGTTTTCAACATGTAATGAATGTATCACAGACTGAGCAGCGATTGGTTCATACAATTAGGAGGCTAAAACTGCATACCCTATGCCTCAGAGGCCGTCACAGCCTAAAACGGGCACTAAAAATTTGAGAAGTAAAGGTTTTCAACATGTAATGAATGTATCACAGACTGAACAGCGATTGGTTCATACAATTAGGAGACTAAAACTGCATACCCTCTGCCTCAGAGTGTGAAAACTAGGGCTGTACCGAATAGTGATTTTCACTATTAGGCCGAATACGAATAGTGGGACCAACTATTCGGCAGAATACGAATAGTGTATCATCATCATCAGGTGCCTTGCCGACTGGTGTTGGCGATTTTACCTCGCCACAATCTGCTATCTCCTGCAGCATGTATCAGTTCATGTGCTGACACACCACCATGACATGCAACAAGACTATCAAGAATCTTCTCTCGTTGTCTTTTTCTATCTCTCCTTCCGCAAATCTTTCCAGCGGTCACCACATGTTCCATTTTTACTCTTCTTATAAGATGGCCGAAAAATGATGACTGTCTCTTTCTGATGTCTGTGATTAGTTGTCTTCAGGCTCCCGCCTCTTTCAAAACCTAGTGGGTGCTTTTTTTTTTAGGCTGTCCAAGGTATTTTGAGCATTGTTCTGTAAAACCACATCTCTGAGGCCTCAAAATATTGTTTGGCCTGGCTACCGATTGTCCAGGACTCATAGCCATATGTCACACAGCAGTTGTATGTAGCAAGCAAGACAAAGATATATTGCATAAGATGTTCTTTTTTTAAAATATAAAATGCAGTTTTTGCCTGTCCTATTTTGTTTTAATTTTAGTAATGCATCTTTCATCTGATTTTATCCATGTGCCAAATTCGCATTTAAATCATTGTTCGTTCAGGTGTTCGTTCGATGTAATTTAAATGCACCTTCATATTCTCGTTCGCAATACCTTCAATTTGATTTGAGCAAAGACACCCCGAAAGAACGAAAAAATGCTGCTCTCTCTCTCACACACACACACAGATACACTTTCAAGTTTCTTCATGCCTTCTTTAACACAACAGTAGCGTTGCCTAAATCTTTCGTAGCGGGGAAAACTGCGACCCGGTTGCGTGGTAACAGCCCCTGCTGACTCCTCCGAGGCATTACAGCAGAGGTTCTAAAACTGGGTGCATATGCCAGGGGTGCCGCGGCGAAAATCAAGAAAAGTCGGCTATAAATTGTGACATTATTAATGAGAGAGTTATTTCAGTCCACTGCAGTGTATGCAGAAATCACTATTCGTATTCGACTCGACCGCTTCACAACTTAACTCCAACTTGAGCTGTAAAAGCCCACGAGCTTCTGACATGGCGAACCACAGATATGATGTACAAATGATATCTCCTTCTGTGCATTCTCCCTTCCAGTGATTTTTAGAAGCAATGGTAACAGGCCTCTATGAAAGCTGTGGTACAACGCCAAGTCTTACACTGATCCACATGCTTAGTTCTCTCTACTGCATGTAGTCAGCATGTCATGTTATCACAATCGATGTCACTGCACACTGGGCATTCTCCTGTGTGCCCAGTCCCTCCATGGTACCTAATTGTTCCCATGAGGAGTTGGATATATTGTCTTCTATCGCTGGATTAAAGGCTGGATAAACGTGCTTCAGCAAGGTTTACTTCCCAGGTCACACAGTCATGTTAGTGTCTGCAGTATATGTTCAGTATACTGGAGTGCCTGCCCATACTGGCAAAGTTCAGAGTCTCCAGTCTTGAAGTTTACTTTACACAGGTCTGCGAAATGTTGGAAATATTCTCTGTTTTTTTCTTTGTTCACCGGCTGTAAGCTTCAGCGGAAAATCCTGGTTGTTCGTCCATTTAGACTTTGGCTTTGTACCAGGGCCTACGTTTTGAGTGTGACTATCTTATTTGTGTACATCTGGTTGTTCCTTTCGCTCAGGCAGATGTAATCTGACTTTGAAGGCAGTCCCCAATTAGTTGACTCCTGCGACATGCTTGTTGGGAATGCAGCGGGTCTGCTCTTGTTATCCCTATAATGGGGCCCCGGAACCCACGTAGGGAACTCACAATGTAAAACAATGGGTCTATTTCTTTCATGCGAGGAGGTTAGATGGGTCTTTGCCCAGGTTGTTTTTGAGGCTTCATTTTTAGAGCAAAAAAGACCCAGAACACCCTAACAACATTTCATAGGGGTGACTAATCAGGAGTGTTTCCTTTACAGTCAGCTAATCAGGAGTGTTTCCTTTACAGTCAGCTAATCAGGAGTGTTTCCTTTACAGTCAGCTAATCAGGAGTGTTTCCTTTACAGTCAGCTAATCAGGAGTGTTTCCTTTACAGTCAGCTAATCAGGAGTGTTTCCTTTACAGTCAGCTAATCAGGAGTGTTTCCTTTACAGTCAGCTAATCAGGAGTGTTTCCTTTACAGTCAGCTAATCAGGAGTGTTTCCTTTACAGTCAGCTAATCAGGAGTGTTTCCTTTACAGTCAGCTAATCAGGAGTGTTTCCTTTACAGTCAGCTAATCAGGAGTGTTTCCTTTACAGTCAGCTAATCAGGAGTGTTTCCTTTACAGTCAGCTAATCAGGAGTGTTTCCTTTACAGTCAGCTAATCAGGAGTGTTTCCTTTACAGTCAGCTAATCATGAGTGTTTCCTTTACAGTCAGCTAATCAGGAGTGTTTCCTTTACAGTCAGCTAATCAGGAGTGTTTCCTTTACAGTCAGCTAATCAGGAGTGTTTCCTTTACAGTCAGCTAATCAGGAGTGTTTCCTTTACAGTCAGAGAGCATCAGCTAGAGAGGCAAAGAACCGTGTGCACTCAAAAAAAAAACCAGAGCTATAAAACAGATGTGTGTGCAGAAGCCAAGTTGTGGTCGAGACCAAAGTCCAGGAATAGATGAACAACAAGACCTTCCGGTCGCAGTTTACAACCGGCGAACGCTAAGAAGAAGACCAATCGGGTCCACAGGATAATATTCTGTATGGGAAGTGTTCCAAGGAGTTATAATGGCAGCCTTTATCTGCAGTTTACTTTGTTCTAATGAAGTGCATCCTGCATCTGGCTGTTCTGAATTGCAGAATGATGACCAGGAGTGCATGAGTATGAGTACTTACAGGAGCACAAGCTTCAATGCCACCGGTGCCACCAAAGAAGTATTCTTGTCCATAGACCACAATGCCTGTATGCCATATACCATCTATCTGTCTCCCTGTAGAGAAGAAAATAAGTAAAGACAGAAGGCATAGCAGACCCACGCACACACACACACAAAAAAGGTATAGTTTTCACAACAGAAGTAAAAAAAATTGTTCCTATGTGATTTATTTACTGTTCAGAAAGGCAAACTAGTCGGCCCCATAATAGTCTAAATATGCAGAATACAATAATAACTGAACAGTAAAATAGTTTCCCCCTTCTGATGTGTCTCTACCCTGTAGTGGTCAAGGCATTGGTGTCTCCAGTGATCTTAAATGCAATGTTTATCACTGCTTAGCTACTCATAGGGTCTCCCAAGCTGGATTGGTTAGATAATTACATCGGCGCCTGGGTCGCCCACTGGCTGGCCGATAGACAATTTCATTGCTGGTCTCTTTTGATCGCATCAACACTGCAAGTCCTTTTCAAGGTTACTTGGTGGAGAGCAGTGGTGCAAATAACCTAATCACAAACATAACCTAAAGCTCCCCCTTCAGGATTGTGGTTAAATGTTACGATTGTTTTTCTCAGAGCAGGAACGGAATGAACAGGTTAGATAACCCAGACAAAGAGGGACAGACAACTGTTGCCTTGAGCTTAGTCAAAGAAAACTGAAAATTACCAACTGAAAATGGATGTTACCAAGATGCAGAGGGACACACAAAAGAATATGGTTCAAAGGAGTCAAGGACAATACTTGACAACATACCAAATGTAGCTACCAATCATATGTTAAACATCTAGAAAAGGCGGATACTGATATGACAAGAAGAAATTGCATGTATGTGCCAGACTTGATGAAAATGAGCAACATAATTCGCTCCACGAGCTTCTGTCATACTTACCCAGAATTCCCTGTGACAATGCTCTGGCCATCCCCATGGAAATGTCATAAACGTAAACTTTGACAGGAGAAGAGGTAGACTCCATACTGTTGGGCAGGTCTCACTTGTGAAATGACTCAATGGATTAGTTTTAGAAAGTTGTGTTGACTCTTACAGATATATCTTGCTTTGCGAAGTGACAGCTTTCTCTCATACATGTGTAGCTTGGAACAAGTTCATAACATTAGTATTCCAAGTATCTGCAGAATGGGAAACAAATTAAAATTGTCAATATATGAATAAAACAGATACACAGTATTTGTAAACTCCTCCTTTCATTCATTTGTAGAACTTTTCAGTGTCCACAAACTACAACTGTGTATGTCTACTTCAGTATAACAAGCCTTTGGGATTCACTGCTTTAGATAATCACCTGCCCCTACTCATCTCGGAGCCACCCTGGTCTAGCGGCTAGATGCTCACATGTGGATCGGAAGATCATGGGTTTAGGGGGGACTTTTTAAAAACCCAGGTTGACTTAGCCTTGAGTGGGTACCATGTGCAGTTCTGGGAAGTTAAGGCGGCCAGCATGATGCTGACCATATCACCCACCAAGTGCCATTTGGTCTATAATATACAAGGGTCCTTTGCTTTTACTTTACTCCATTCATCTCTGTGACTGGTGCCTTATTTTCCCAGTTGGTGACTTTGAGTGTTTGTAAGTCTCCTTTTATATTATCTCTCCACCGTCTACTCTGCTTGCCCCATGGTCCACTTCTATTCATCTCTTTCGTGCACAAAAATATGCATATATGAATAAAATATTACAACACATTTAATATACTGAATCTTGGGGGGGGGAAGGGGGAGGGGTTGGACTTGTGTAAATAAATAACGTGAAGCACAGAATAAAAAGTATGCTTTCATTTAGAGCTAGGGAGTGCAAAATAACTAAAGTGAAAAAAAAAAAAATATCACGGCTGAAGATTAGTTATATAAGTGAGACAGAGGTCCAACTTAGCAAATGAACTGGCAAATGAAACAATTGTTTTATTTAAAAAACAGCCTAATTTATAATTCAAATGGTTCAGTCCCAAGCTCGCTATCAAAAATTTTTGGTACTTTAGAGTAATAATTTTTGGTTTAAATGAGTCTGAATGAATGAATCAATAAATCAAGAATTGACATCCCTGCACTTAGGAAATTCCAATAGGTGCTCCCTCCTTTTCTTCAATAACCAACAAATAGTCAACATGCTGATAATACCAAAAGGAACCTGATTAAATGCCTGCCTCTATATTCCCCTTAATGTTCAGTATCTTCTAGAACCTCTACACATCCCTTGCTGAATTGGTCTTTCAAGTTATGGATTTTCTATCTGTTATACTGCACTGTCCATCTGATCCCATAAGGGCCTTAACCACATCCTTTGTCACAAAGTAGCTGACAGCCCAGAGCAGTGGCAGCAGCTAATCTATCAGCGTGCTAGATACCTCGCACACCTAAATACCCTGGACAGAAAAGCCACGATATGCCCCTGTTTTGTGTCTTATCAAATGATGAAAGCCACTATGGGTGCATGATGCCAGTATCAATTTTTCAAAGCCCGCTCTGTGAGTCTGTTGAAAAAACAACATGTCAAGCTGTCAAGCCATGACTTAAAAAATCTACATAATGTATGGATACAAATTAATCGCATCCTTTTCAGCCATGTTTTTCAACTTTTTAAAAAAAGCTGACTGGGAAAATGGGAGAATTATTTTATGGACCAGCTGACAGCTAATACAGAAACAAATACTTCTTCTTATTCATGTTTACCGGCTGTAAACTCTGGTGGAAAGTTGTGTTTGTTTATCCGCCTCTGGACTTTAGTCTTGTTATAGAAACCGAGTGTTGTATTTTACATATTTGACTTATCTGTATGCAGACTTGTTTCTAACCATTCAGGTAGATGCACTCAGACTTTGAAGGAAGCCACCAATTAGTTGACTCTTTCGACATGATTATTGGGGAGGCAGTGGGCATATCCTTGATTTCCCCACAATGGGGTCCCTGAACCCATACAGGGAGAAATGATTCAATCTGGGAAACAAAGTTAATTAACAACTTGGAGAGAACAGATTATTGACAGAAGAATGCACCCGAAAAATTTTAGAAATGTACGTCACATATTGATACGAGTTAGCTGCATCCTTACTCTTCAACTTTATAAAACGTGCGAACCGTTAAAATATAAGAAATATTTTATGTAACAACCGACAGCTAAAACAGAAACAAACGTAGACAGCAGTATGTCTACAGGAGAAATATTTTATATAACAACTGACAGATAAAACATAAACAAATGTAGACAGCAGTATGCCTATGGGAGAAATGTTTTATGTAACAACTGACAGATAAAACATAAACAAATGTAGACAGCAGTATGCCTATAAGAGAAATGTTTTATGTAACAACTGACAGATAAAACATAAACAAATGTAGACAGCAGTATGCCTATAGGAGAAATATTTTATGTAACAACCGACAGATAAAACATAAACAAATGTAGACAGCAGTATGCCTATAGGAGAAATATTTTATGTAACAACCGACAGGTAAAACAGAAACAAATGTAGACAGCAGTATGCCTATAGGAGAAATATTTTATGTAACAACTGACAGGTAAAACAGAAACAAATGTAGACAGCAGTATGCCTATAGGAGAAATATTTTATGTAACAACTGACAGATAAAACATAAACAAATGTAGACAGCAGTATGCTATAGGAGAAATGTTTTATGTAACAA